GACTTTTTCTCTCCTCCAATTAGAGAAGTTTTCTGTCATTACTTTTTCAAACAGGTTCTCTATCCTTGCTGCTCTTCTTCTTCTGGTATCCCTATTATGCGGATATTACTGCGTTTCAGATTGTTCTGCATTTCCCTAAATGCTTCTGCATTTTTTGGAGTCTTTTTTTCATTTCCTTGCTCTTTCTGAGAGCTTTTTTTCCACCTTGTCATTGAGCTCACTGATTCGTTCCTCTGCTTCATCTAGCCTGCTTTTGATTCTTTTTACTGTGTTCTTCAGTTCAGAAATTGCTTTCTTCATTTCCTTTTGCCTCTTGATAGTGTCAATGTCCTTTTTCATGCTGATATAGTTTGCAGTAAGTTCCTCGTAGTTTCCCTGTAGTTTTTGGTAATTCTCTCTGAGCTCACTGAACTCAGTGAGCTTCCTTAGAACCGTTGTTTTGAACTCAGTATCTGATAGTTTACTTGCCTCTATTTCACTTAGTTCTTTCTGGGGATTCTTCCTTTCCCTGACTTGGGGGCTGTTTCTTAGTCTTCCCATTATTTGTGAGACTCTTTTTAGCTTCTGCTTTTTAAATTGATCTGTCTTGAATTCCTGAATTTGCAGTGTATACTTTCATGGGAGGAGTCCAGTGTTTTTTTCTTTCTGGGTCTGCCTCTGATGATTCATATGTTTACCCTGCCTGACCGAAGGCAGTCTGTTTGAGACTCCCAGGAATCTACTGTCTGTGGCTGTCTCCTTCAGTTGTTATTCTAGTCACTCTGCACTCAGCAGGCTAGCTTAGACACCACAGGTTGCGGCAGTCCCTCCTGGGGGCGGTGTTATTGGGTCTTGTCACGATGCTGCTGCTGCTGCACAGGGCAGTGGCTTGAGCCAGATGGCTGCTGCTATATGTGGGAGGAGTCAGCACCAGGATCCTGCCGGCTACTCTCTCCGTTTTCTTCCCAAAGCCTCTGTCTCCAGCCTCTCAAGTGTGTCTAGTTCACTACATACCCCTTTTAGCCACAGATCTACTATCTATGGCTGCCACTCTATACTCAGGAGTCAAGTTTTAGCACTACAGGGTCAGCGCCAAGTCCTTCTTTGGGGCAGGGCTATTGTGTCCTCTCACACTGCTGCCACTCAGGGGAGTGGTCTGCCTGACCAAGATGGCTGCTGGCACATGGGGGATGAATCAGTCACAGGATCCCGCTGGCTACTCTCTCAGTTCTCTCCCTGAAACCTCCTTACCCAGTCTCCTCAGGCATCTCCAGACCACTCTGTTCCTGCCTTTGCCGGAGACCACGGTGAGTGGCTGCAAATAAAAATCTATGTATTGGCCCTTTAAATGACTCTTTGTATCTCCAGCTGCCTGTCTCTGGCAGAGAGCAACCCCGCTGCTTTTGCTGCTAGCTGTTATCTGCATATTTTTTGGGCTCTGGTGCTGTAGGCTGGAGACCCCAGCCTAACTTACATTTTAGACCCCACTCTTCTCAGTGGGATCCCACTGGCCATTTCAATATCCTTCTCGTGCTGCCACCTGTGGGCACCCTGCCTGCCTTCTCGAGTCTCTACTGCACTTCTTACCAGTTAGGTTGTGCTAAAGGTGATTCTTCTGTCTGTCCGAGGTTATAAGGCTCCTCTCTTGTTATTGTTCAGTTGTTTGTTCCAGGTGATTTCTCCACAATTTAGTTGTAATTCCAGATTGGTCCTGGGAGGAGGTCAGTGTGACTTCCAGTCACTCCTCCACCACCTTGATGCTTTTTTTCTTAAGCTCTCTTAATGGCAACAATGCAGCATGGACATGGAGGAGCCAGGAATGGGTTAGAGTTGGGCCTCTGGCACTTGGTAACTGTAGTCAGGGACAAATCAATGTTTCTAAGTCCCAGTTTTACTCATCTGTGAAAACTGGATGACAATACCTGTACCTGCCTACTGAAGGTTGTTATAAAATCCCAAATACTAAAAACCTGTCATTTTTGACAGCCTTTCTTTACTCTAGCACTTTCAACCTATCAAATCTCACATTTGGCACCATTTCCAAGGAAGAAAAGGGTCTTTTTTTCCCTTAACATAGACCCTACAATGGCCTCTAACTGGCATCAAGGTCTCAATACTTTCCTTCTTATGAATCACATTAAATTTTTTGTTGTGTAAATAAATCTCTGTGTGCATGTATATTCTCCTGGGAAGTCAAACTACAATACACACATACACCAAGTGGGATTCTTATACAAGTACTGCACCTTCTCCCACATACCCCTTGCATAGTCCCTACTTTAGGCTAAAAATCCCTTTGGGTAATGGGAAATGTTACTAATGGATATGTTGCCCACAAATTGACATGAAACAGTCAAACAAAGTAGAACCACTGCTTAAAACCTACCTTTCACATTCCCATCAGTTATTCTCAGCAAAGAATTTTCCATCATTTACCTGATCATAAACAAACCCATTGCTTACTCTGATATTTAAGGCCCTCCTTGGCATCATTTCTTGACATCTCTCTACCATAAGGTCCTTCCTTGCTCTAAACACAGAGACTACTTAGCATTCTCAAATTATGTACTCTTTTAACATTTGGTTCTCTCTGCCCAAGTGGATTTATTCCTTCACCTTCATGTGGAGAAATGCCGTTTCTTCCCCAGGGCCTATCACATGCAAGTCACTATAGCAGAATACATTTTCTAAGATGGCCAGTGTGTCATGATGCACAGCCTTGTGTAGTTTACTTTTTTTTAAACAAGGTATTGGTAAATGAAGCTCTTTTTAAATTTATTTTAACTGCAATGTAATATTCCATTATGTGACTGTACAAGTTTATGCATTTTTCTATTCCCAGCGAAGAGGAAAAAGCAGTTACTGAATTTTTGCTACTATAAACAATGCTTTAATGGAGGGGGGGAGCTGTCCCATCCTGTATGTTCTTCTGTACAACCTTACGCTAACATTCTTCCCATCAACGTGTATTCTATGTCCCCTCCCCTTAAAGCCTGCTGGGCCTGTGATTACGATAAAAGTGTTTCTAAGTTACATCATAAAAGGCATTAAGGCTCTGCCTGGTCCTTTTGGAACGTTCTATCTCCTAACCCACTCATCCTGCTGTGAAAAAGCCAAACAGCTACATAGAGAACCTGTTGATATTCAGGGACAAACCCCAACCATTATCTGACTGAAACTGGACAAGATCCCAAGTGAGAACTACTTAGCTGAGCCCAATCAAATCTCAGAATCATGAGAGATAATAATAAAAAGACTATGTTTTAAGCTACCAAGTTATGGGGTGATTTGTGATGTAGCAACAGTAAATGGAACATCACCTTCTCAGACAGAGCTTTTTCTGAACCTCACCCTTGGAAGAATTAGTAATCCTTCTTTGGGACACAGGCTACCCTGTCTTTACTTTAAGTTCAGCAAAGCACTTTTCATAATAGTTATGGACAGCACTGTATCGCTCTCCCCTTGTCCCCCATTCCTATGTCAAAGCCCTAACCACAAATCTGACTGTATTTGGAGATAGAGACTATTTGAGGAAGTAATTAAAGTTAAAAGAGGCCACAACCCAACAGGACTAGTGTCCATGTAAGAGGAGACATTGGGAGTGCCCATGCACAGAGGAAAGGCCATATAACTACACAGCAAGAAGGAGCCCATCTGCAAGTCAGTTAGAACTCACCAGAAACCAACCTTGCAAGTACCTTGACCATGACCCATCAGCCTCTAGAACTGTGAAAAAATAAATTTCCATTGTTTAAGCTTCCAGTCTGTGCTAGTCTGTGATGACAGCCCAAGCAGACTTCTACATATGTGTGCTTCCAACAAATAAGGCGGGTACCTTGCTTCATCCATCTCTGTATCCTCAAAACCTAGTGTGGACCTGACACATACCATGCAGTTGATGAATATTGTTGAGTGAATGGGCATAAAGCCAGAGGCTAATGAAGCTGATAATGAAGTGGGTAAAAGGGCCCAAATTTAAAAAAAAGAGATAAAAGGAGATACATCTAAAGAAATGATGAATGTACTGATATAAGAAAACCTAGCTAACATCTGAGTGCTCTTTAAAGCAGACACCATGCTATATTACACGGATTATTTATTTATAATCTTCACGATAACTTTGCTTTACCCCTTCCCAGCTGCAACAATCGTAGAAACTAACAGAGTGCTTGGTAGAAGGCCTTCTTTTGTATGGTGCTTTTGAGGTGCTAGAAAGATATTCAAGTCAAACTGAGACAGAAACTATAGTGCAAAGGAAATAATTACATTCTCAGAGAAATACAAATAAAAGAGGCACTGTGATTTGGGAGAACCATAAACATGCATTATCACCGATGGTGGGAAGAAATGGGTTTCAAGGACAAGGGCATGTGTAATGCATGGAAGGCTGCAGAGACTAAATGGAGACTAATGGACACTAAAAAGTGGCCGCTGAACTTAAACATCAACAAGTCACCAGTAAGCTTTGAGAAAGGAGTTTCAGTGGAGTGGTGGTCTCCAAACTACTGCGTTAAGGAAGGGGAAGCAAGGCATTCGTAGCTCAACGCAGTTACCACCCCACTGCTTCAAGTTCAGAAGCAAGAGGGAGAGTGCCGTCAAATCGGGTAAGACCAAACACTTAGAGAGCAAAAGAGCAGTTGCCAGAGGGTGAAAGTGGAACGAACGTGGCTCGAACCAGAGATGTCCGGCTGAGCGGAATTTCCAAGAGCCGATAAGGCCAGAACTACGGAGACTAGGGAAGGGCGCAGGGTCCAGCCAAAAGAAAAAAGTGGTCTCGTGAGTCTCTGCAACAGTGATGAAGGGGGCTAGTTCCAAACGTCCAACAACACTTCTTGCCGAGGAGGCAGCAACGTGGACACTTGCGCCGAGGGGCCTTCAGGGGACCTCTCAGAACCCGTTTCGCGCGGGCTCCAACTTCCCTGCTCCCAAGCCGCCCAACCTCCACCAAGGTGGTCCTCGGATGGCCGCAGCGCCCCCCCCTTGTGAGCTGGCCCAAAGATGCAGGCCCCGAAGGCACTCACCCCACTGCCACGCGGCGCCAGCGCCGGACCGGCTGCACGATGAGTGCGTCCCAGGCGGCCGCCAACCGGCCCTCAGGGGAGCCGGGTCCCGGAGGAGGGGGCCCCGGCTGCAGCGAGCTCCACAACAACCGCAGCGCCGAGTTCGGCAGCTGCGGCTCCAGCAAGAAGACGCAGCCCACCGCCAATGCCAAGAAGCCCGCGTACGCAGAGCCGCGCCACAGCGCCATGGGGACCAAGACGCGCAAACTTAGCCGACCTACTCCTCTCCCGGCCTGCGCCTCTTCCGGGTTCGGCGCGCGCCTACGTCCACACGAGCGACACCTCACGCCGGGGCGTCACTTGCCCTCTAGGGGGCGGGGCTACGGACGCAGGAAGGGGCGGGGAGACCTTTTCCAGGCTTTCAAATCCGGATATTTCGGCGCGTGCTCTTTCCTCTCCAGCAGGTTGGACAAAGGCGGAGTCCCTGCGCCCATTCCTGGAACTCCGACAGTACCCGAGAATAGAGGGGCAAGAGTACCATTGCTTTCCCCCGGTAAAACGAAGCGGAGGGTTTGTGAAGAAATGTGCAAGCTTTACATTAATCTGAGCCAGTCAGGGTCCTCGTTTGAGCTGCGCCTGCAGTTCCTTTGAGAGTCACGAATCACACTCCCCTCCCCTTTCAATTGGTCCCTCTGCCCGCCGCCCCCGCCCCCCCCCGGCCCCCGCCGCTGTGTATCCTCCATCGTTCACTAAGCTTATCCTCTTTCCGGCCAGGTCTGGGCGTTCCCCGGAGGAACCGGCTCAGACGGCAGCAGAGCTGCAGTGAGCCGCTGGGCCACACGTGGCAGGGGCATTCTGCCCCTTCGGAGGGTAGCCCGGACCTTCAGCCGCTGTGGCCTAAGCCACGCCAGGGGGGAGGCCGCAGCGATCATCCTCTCTGGATGACTAAATTCAAACCTAAAATAATCCTTCTGGGGCGCTGTTCCCTCTAACAATCTCAGGAAAATGTACAGATCCGCACAACCTTGTGTATAACACAGGGAGGTTATGGACTTTGATTAAGAAACCCCAGTTTCTCCTCCCTCGTGATATGGCTTAAACCTAGCAGGCGCTGTTGTCCTTGTTGTGACCCTTGTGTGTGAGCCTGGGTTGAGAACCAGTGAAGCTAGGCTTACTGGCAACTCAATCTCAGTAGCCACCATGCCGAGACTCCTCTTGTTCCCTGGCCTGTTTCCATTTTTCCAGTCCTGCTGGCTCCTGACTTGGCCCTGTTTTGGATTTTCCACTCTGTGCCTGACCTTTGGACTTGGCAGTGAAACTTTTATTTCCCTAGCTTTGATCTTGGGCTTCATCACCCCTAGCACCATTGTACCAGCACTTACCCATCCCATCCTGGTCATCCACCCTCTCCTCCACATCACTCCTTCTGCCAGCCCACCTGACCATAGCATCTGTTTCAATGGAGATGTTCACACAGGAAGAGATTGGGCTACCATGGAGTAGAAGCCAAGGAGCCAATGAGATCTCAGTGGTGCCATGAAGCTGTCTGCCTTAGAGATGAGTGTTGTTTTTCTTTCCTCTGACAGGCATGTCAGTCAGTTCCCAGAGAAACTGCTCCCTCAGTTGGCTCCAAGTGGGCAGGTTTCCCTATCACCCCAGAAGTGACTGAACCAGAAACTAACTCAAAAGCAGTGAACCCACTGACTGGCCAGAGACCATTTTTCTCTACTGAAAATATGAACAAAGAGTCAACAGTCTATAATGTAAAACAAATTAATTTTAGATTGTAATAAAGAATAAAAAGCATTTATTTGAGCTAAAGAAGCTGTATCCCAGGACATGCACATTCAAGTAGCAACCTAAATTGTGTACCACCAGACAAAGGGGAAGTTGCTTTTTATAGCAAAAATTCCTGCCATATTCCCAACTAGGCCCATGTTATGTAAATCTGGTATCCAGATTTGTACACCTCTGATTAGTTCAAATCACATAGTCCTGATTGGTTGGATTTATGCATCCTGATTGGGTATTATGGATCAGTTCTGATTGGACTGGGTAGAGCTTAGTCCATTGGTGAAAAGATAAACTGACTTCCTTATAATAGTTAGCACATTGCTAAAGGAGCAGGGCACACGAGTGGTTGGGAATCTCCTGTCAACAAATGGCTACTAAGCTCTTATTATTTATAAAATTTGGTCCCTCAGTTCAGCATAGTGATCCCATCTCAGCAGATGAATTTCTTCTGAGGGTTCACATTAAATGAATCTTTCTTGTTGGGGTCCACATTAACTAGTTAGTTTTGGTTGTGGACTTGCAATTTCACATCAGGTTGAAGGCCAGATAGGGCCAGTTAAATAAGTTTTCAAGGTGACAGTTTTGGGGAAAGAAGAGGAAGCTGAACTGTGGGAAGGCCATGGAGCAGACAGGCCTGGTGGAGCAGGGAGTGCTCCACACCAAACTGATGTGGAGAGAAAGTACCTGGGGCCTACCCTTCTGGCTTCCTGGAGAGCTGCTGAGCTGACAGCACTTTGCATCTATTTCTTCTGCTGCTTTCTAGGCTTGCCTGATCCCACCCCCTAGTTTAATTGAGATATAATTGACATAGAACATTGTATATGTTTAATGTGTACAACATAATGGTTTGATATTCATGTACATTGTGTAATGATTACCACAATAACTTTAGTTAACATCTATTAACTTGCATAGTTACAACTTTTTTTCTTGTGGTGAGAGCTAACTTTTACTCTCTTAGCTTCTTTCTAACATACAATACTAGAGTTTTTGATTTACCCACAGAAACAAAACAAAATCAACTTGACCAAAATGGAAGTTTAAGGAGTTTCAAGATGGTGGAAGAGTGAATGGAAGATACACTGACCTCCTCCCAGGATCAATCTGGAATTACAACCAAATTGTGCAGAAATCACCCAGAAAAAACAACTGAACAAGAGCGATAAAGGAGCCTTAAAACCTTGGCCAGACAGAAGAAGAATCAGCTTTAGCACAACCTGACTTGTAAGGAGTGCGGTAGAGACTCGAGAAGGCAGGCAGGGTGCCCACAGGTGGCAGCACCAGAAGGATACTGAAACGGCCAGAGGGATCCCCCTGAGAAGAGAGGGGTCTGTTCCATACATGGGGACCCCCCAGCCTAAGTCACCAGTACACAGATAACAGCCAGCAGTGAAAAGCAGCAGAGTTACTCTCTGCCAGAGATGGGCAGCTGGAGACACGAAGAGTCATTTAAAGGGCCAACACATAGATTTTTATTTGCTGCCACTTACCCTGGTCTCTGGCAAAGGCGGGGTAGAGTGGGCTGGAGATGCCTGAGGAGAGATTGGAGAAGGAGGCTTCAGGGAGAGAACTGAGAGAGTAGCCCGTGGGATCCCAGTGCTGACTCATCCCTCGTGCAACAGCAGCCATCTTGGTCAGGCAGACCACTCCCCTGAGTGGCAGCAGCTGAGAGAGGAAACAATAGCCAAGGTCCCAGGAGGGACTCTGCACCCCCGCCCCGCCCCGTGGTGCCTAAATTTGACTGCAAAGTACAGAGTGGCAGCCATAGATAGTAGGTCCCTAGATAAAGGGGGTGCAGAGTGGACCAGAGACACTTGAGGAGAGACTGGAGACAGAGGCTTTGGGGAGAAAACTGAATGAGTAGCTGGTGGGATCCCAGTGCTGACTCCTCCCCCATATGGCAGCAGCCATCCGGCTAAAGCAGACCATTCCCCTGAGCAGCAGCTGCAGTGTGAGAGGACTCAATAACCCCACCCCCAGGAAGAACTCTGCGCCTCCCTGTGGTGCCTAAACCTGACTGCTGAGTGCAGAGTGACTGGATTAACAACTGAAGGAGACAGCCACAGACAATACATTCCTGGAGGTCTTGAACAGACTGCTTAAGGTCAGACGGGTCACCATCTGAATCATTAGAGGCAGATCCAGAAAGAAAAAGCAGTGGTAAACACCAGAGGTTAAGGAGACGAAATCCACTGTGGTCTTATACATGATTTGTGATATTTTTATTACCACATAGTTTTTTAATGTTCATTTTGGATCCATCAAGTTTGTGTATGTTAAGTCATTAGATTTTGTACTAATAGTTTCTTTCTCTCCTTTCTTATAATAGTCTTAATTTCTCTTTACAGCCTTATTTATTAATACTGGTTCATTTGCTGTTGATAGTGTGGTTGCAGGGGAGTTATTTTTGTGGATGTGGGATTGTTTCCTGGGTTTTGTGGTTTTGTTCTGGCTGCACAAAAACACACAAGATGTGGTGGGCAGAGTGACCCTCAGTCAACCAGCTGAAGGGTAGGACCCACCAAAGAACGACCAACAACAATCAAAACCCAATTACTTCCAGAGAGACAACATAAACGGCATAAAAAACATCCAAAGAACAGCAAGTTCAGGAGATCAAGAACACTACCCAACTGAATCTCACTGTCTCCTACCTTACAAGTTCATACCACAAAGTCAGGAAGTCAACACAGATCAATGTAAGAAACAGAAGCAGAAAAGAAGAGTCTCAAAAATAATGGGAAGACTAAAAAACAGCCCCCAATCGAAGGGAAAGGAAGAATCCCCAGAAAGAGAACTAAATGAAATGGAGACAAGTAAGCTATCAGGTATTGAATTCAAAACAATAGTTCTGAAAAAGCTCAATGAGCTCAGTGAGCTCAGAGAGAATTACAAAAAACTACAGAGAAACTATGAGCAACTTACTGCAAAACATATTAGCATGAGAAAGGACATAGAGACTATCAACAAGAGGCAAGAAGAAATGAAGAAGATAATTTCTGAATTGAAGAACATGGTAGAAGGAATCAAAAGCAGGCTAGATGAAGCAGAGGATCAAATCAGCGAGTTGGAGGACAAGGTAGAAAAGCTCCCAGAAAGAGCAAGGACATGAAAAAAGACAAAAAAAAAAAAAAAAATGAAGAGTCATTTAGGAAAAAGCAGGACAACCTGAAACGTAAAAATATCCATATTATGGGGATACCAGAAGGAGAAGAAGAGCAGCAAGGGATAGAGAACCTGTTTGAAAAAGTAATGACAGAAAACTTCTCTAATTGGAGGAGAGAAAAAGTCATACAAGTCCAGGAAGCACAGAAGATCCCATTCAAGAGGAACCCAATGAGGCCCACTTCAAGACACATCATCATTAAAATGGTAAATATCAAAGACAAAGGGAGAACCTAAAAGGCAACATGGGAGAAAGAGGTAGTAACATATAAGAGAGACCTAGTATGGCTAGCAGCTGACTTCTCAACAGAAATACTACAAGCCAAAATGGAATGGGAAGAAATATTCCA